CGCCTTTCTTCTCTGTTTTTACTGCACGGGTGAAGTCGGGCGTGTCCCCCTACAGGGGGGATCTTGGACGAGAAATAAAACAAGTAGTCCAAAGATGCCCCCAAGTCGTCAACAAATGCTCAAAGCATACAGTCCCCAGACTATTGCTTGACTGCTCTTGAACATCCCCCCTGTAGAGGGACAGGCCCGACTTGACTTTACTCTGCACGGGTTAAGTCGGGCGTGTCCCCCTGCAGGGGGATCTTGGACGAGATATAAGAAGTAGTCCGAAAATGCACCCAAATCGTCAAATAATGCTCAAAGCATATAGTCCCCAGACTATTTCTTGACTACTCTTGAACATCCCCCCTGTAGAGGGACAGGCCCGACTTGACTTTACTCTGCAAGGGCCACCTCGGAGAACGGGTCGCTCCTCCGCGCTGCGCCCGGGGATGGGGCCCTCTCTCCTCGCGCCGGCCGCGCGCGGGTCCGTCGAGGGCGAGGCGGCGGCCCGGGCCCGGGCCCAGGCCTCCGGGCCCCGAGGGAGGCCCAGGGACCCGGCGTTTCCGTCGGCGGGTGAGCCTCTCGGCTACTTTAGGAGGCAGCTGCTGGGAGGCTTTCGTCGGAAGGATTCGAAGAGGATTGAGCCCCATTGGGGGACTGTTACGCCGGAGTGGGCCTCGGAGCGAGCCGGATTAAGCCGCATTAAGCGGGATTCAGCCGGATTAAGCGAGATTAAGCGGGATTAAGCCGGACTTCGGACCAGGGCAAAATCAGAATTTGACCTCCCAGGAGTTGCATCCGAAGCTACATCGCCGCCAGAGTTAGGTCGTGCATGTCCTCCTACAAGCGGGTGTTGGAAGGCAAGTTCAAAGCGTGCCACCAAAAATATGCAAAAGTAGCCGAACACGGTCGAAACATCGTCCCAAGATCATGTTTGGGGCACTTTTGGATATTCCTCCTGTAGGGGCACATGCCCTGCTCAACCCCAGAGGCACGAGAAGTCTGGAGTGCGCGGCCTGCCGACGGCCACGTGCGGTGCGAAGCAGCCAAACGCAAAGCGCGCGTGGGCAAGACAATTGGCGAGCGTGCGAGCTACGCCAAACGCGTTAGCTGGCGGACAGGAGGCGCCAAACGCGCGACAAGACAGACAGCTACGACGCGACAGCTACGACGTGCGGTGCGACGGGAAAAGCACGCATGCGTGCCCGGGTCCGGCCCTCCCGCGACCCCCCGGAGAAGCAGCGCGCCCAGAGGGAATCACCACTCAGACGCGTCGCCGATCTTGCATTTCGCAAGGGGCCGACCTCGAGGCCCCGGGGCAGCCAGGACGCGGCCTGAGGCATCTCGACCCCGTCCCCGTGGACGGGGTCGAGAGCGTCATGGGGCCACCGTCGCGCCGTCGCGAGGAAAGCCACGTCGCCGGGAGGCGTGGGTTCTCGGGCCTGTCCCCCTCATCACCCGCCTGCTGCTACTCCTCTCGGACATCCTCCTCCTCCTCCTCCTCCTCCTCCTCCTCCTCCTCCTCCTCCTATTTCTCCTTCTCCTCCTCCTCCTATTTCTCCTTCTCCTCCTCCTCCTCCTCCTCGTCGTCCTCCTCCTCCTCGTCCTCCTACTTCTCCTCCTCCTCCTCCTCCTCCTCGTCCTCCTCCTCCTCCTCCTCGTCCTCCTCCTTCTCCTCCTCCTCCTCCTCCTCCTCCTCCTCCTCCTCCTCCTCTCGCTCTCTCTGCCGGCCATGGGGTCGTACCGACCCGGCCATCCCCAGGGCCAGTCGGCCCCGGGGGGGTGATAAGGATCATGAGCCAGGCGACCCCAGGGGCAGTGGCCCCTGGACTCGTCGGTTGGTAGGCAGGCCGTGGGAACGAGAAGGCCCGCAGACGACAGGGGAGAGCGGAGAGGATACACAGTCGAGCGCGAACAATAGGAAGAAGAAGAAAAAGAAGAAGAAGAAGAAGAAGAGGAAGAGGAAGAAGAGGAAGTAGGAAACGGGTGCAGCGGCGCGAGCGTGGCCCAACATGGCTGCGAGCTGCGCCGTGTCCGAGTCGACAGGGAGGGGGGAGGCGCCAGGGCCCCTCCCCTTGACGGGCAAATGTTCCACCCTGCCACGCGTGCGCCGGTGTACGCGCCCGCCTGTGCGCATATCCAAGCGCACGCCCAAATCGGTGCTGCCAGCATTGATGTTGAGAGGCAGTCCTGCCGTAGCCCGCGGTCGCTGCCGCACTCGATGTGCGGCCCGCCACCGTGCCTGGACAGGCGCGGCCGTCGCTGCCCTGTCTGGGGGGTGACCCCTGCTCGGGCGTCTTTGGTCGAGTCTGCCTGGTGTGCCTCGTCAGCGTGCACGTGGAGTCGCCTGGCCGTGCCGCTCCAACGGTCAATTCTGGCACTGCGGACGTGGATCGAGCCGCTCTGCTGCGGAGGGCCCCCTCGCACGGGGCAGGCATCGTCCTCGGATCGGCCACAGCCGTGGTGGAACTGACCGGGCGGATCCAGCGTTGCCTCGACCCCGTCGCACCCCAAAGGCGATCGAGGAAGCGCATCCATGCCGAAGCCAGGCCCCACGACCGTCTCGTCAGGCTGGTGCTCCAGCCGTCGTCGAGATCGGCATGGGCGCCCCTTTGTCCTGTACTCGTCCGCGTGCGCTGCTTGTGTCTTGGCAACCGCCCTGCACTATGATGGACTGGTCGGTACTCGTCGGCTCCGTGACAAACGGTGGTGGGTGTTGGGACGCACAGGGACGTACTACTACTACTACTACTACAATATGTATGTCCTCCTTGGAGGCGCGCGTTCGACCCGAACATATAGTATATCCATCTTGTAGTCTATCATTTCACGAGCGGTGTGGCCAGAAAGCGCCCGCCACGGCGCACTTACTATAAGATTTCTCGGTGTGCGCGTCGCCCCTAGGGGCGCGACGCACATGTAGTATGAGTATGTTGGGGTGCCGCCGAGGTGTGGTCGCCATGCTCGCGCTGCGTCGTCCGTCAGCCTTGCAGTCCGTCTGCACGGGGCCATCTGTGTCGATGTGGTCGGCCTCGTGGTTCGCTCATGTCGAATTGCTCTGCTCGATGGGCGGGCGACACGGCGGTGAAATGCGTGCCACTTCTTGCCGTCGCTCGGACGTCCATTTCCCGTGCATGGTTCGGTTTCGTGCGTGTTGTTGTTGTTGCTCGATGGTCCAGGATGGTCCTCGATGGATCTCGCCGAGAAAAATGCACACGTCCGAGCGATGCCAAGGCTTGCGGTGGGTAGCGCGTGGTGCTCCAGATTCACCGTAGGCAACGCGATGGCTGGTCGAAATCGCGCTGCCAGGTGACCGCCAGTAGGATGCTGATGCAGCTGCAGTCCCTTGGGCTGCGCCATCGCAGGATGCGGTGTCGTTTGCTACATGTGTTGAGTACGAGACGATGTGGCAAGGCTCGTCAGGGTAGATTCTAGCCTGTCTTGTCCTCCGTACACTGGCACTTCGCGATGTTGGTGCTGAGTGTTTGCGTGCCGGTTGTAGCGAAGCGCCCCTGCCAGGCGTGCCGATTGAGATCATTTGCGGCGAGATGGCCTGCGGGATCATCTCTTCCGTGGTGGTGATGTCGTCGCCCGTTCCTTCCCTCGAAAAGGGGGTGTCCAACAGCCGTGCATGTTGTGATCTGCTGATCAGTCGGACTGTCCTGCTGGTATCATCTGGCGTCGCGCATTCTGCGTTCCCCGTTAGCAACTCATCCACATTTGGGTCGTGGGTCGTGGTGGGGGTGCTGCGTCCCCTTGTCGGGGTTGATGGATCGAAATGTCGTGGGTCGTCGGCGATAGGTGGGATGTATCTAGACCCCATGAGTCTTGTCTCGAACTGCTTGGTTGCAGGGTGATTGCGTCATCTGCGTCCGACCTGGCACTATGTCTTGTGTAGCCATGGGCTGGACTGGCAGCCCAAGCTCGGCCTCCTTCTCGTCGTCGTACTCGGCCTCGTCATCCTCCTCCTGCTCCTTCTCCTTCTGCTGCCGCCTTCTCCTCCATTTCCTCTTCCCCCTCCTCGTCGCTGGAGAAAACCATGTCCTCCCAACTCCCCCGACCTCTTCACGGGTGCGTTCTGACCAGAATTTCGAGGCGAATCCAGTGGTGGCGATGAGGGCCTCCCAGGAGGCTCACAGAGGCGAAAACGAGGAGAGGGTAGAGGCATCCAGAAGAAGGACAATTCAACTTTTGGCGCTCCGCGCGGATTTCTTGGATCTGCGGTGGAGGCCCCCCTCCCTGGCGCGCGGAGCGCGCCAGGGGCGGAGTCCGAGGCGCCGCCAGCCAAGACATCCGCGCGGAGATCCAAATGTTTGTCCATGGCGTTGTTTCTTCGATGGTAGCAGTATCGGTACTTTTTCCTCCTCTGATCCTCTTCTTGGCGGCGCGTCCTCATCACAGGCCGGGGGATAGCAGGCAGCCCACGCGTCAGCTGCCGACGTTCCGGGCGGCGGCGATGGCGTGGAGAATAATCCCGTGGGTCACGCCAACGTTTAGGGAATCGACGCCGGGCGCCTGGAAGAGGAGTCCAGACCTCCACCTCCTCTTCCTCCTCCTCCTCCTCCTCCTCCTCCTCCTTCCCCTCCTCCTCCTTCTCCTCCTCTTCCTCCTCCTCCTCCTCTTCCTCTTCCTCCTCCTCCTCCTCCTCTTGCTCCTCCTCCTCCGGCAGGCTTCTCGTGGCCATGGCTGGATTCCAGTCCAAACTCGGATCAGAACGCACCCAGGGAGAGGCCTAAGAGTCGACGTCGGCGTCCCCGACCTGAACCCCTTCGCGTCGTGAAGAAATCACGGCGCCATGCGTTGGACACTCTTCGGCCTCAAACTGGCCCGCCTGGCCCCTGGGCCGTCAAACAAACTGCTCGGGGTAACAAACATGATGCGGGGAAGGGGTAGACACCACTGGGGGTCCCGGCTGTGAAACAACATGACGCTTAGTTTTGAGGGGAGAGAAGCAAGGAATGGCAGCAGGCACGAACGAGTCGCTACACACAAGCTGGTCTGCGAGCGGCGGAAATCCCCTATTTCGCCGCCGCCGCCGTCTTCAGGAACGGCTCCACTGCGCTCAAGTCAGGCCCCCGGGCGTCTCCCTCGTAAGGATGGCTTCGCGGATGAGTGATTCCGCAGCATCGAACGAGATAATGATCTGGGAGCCATGTCTCAAGAAGCCACAGGATGGTCATATAGGGTATCACGTCGGTAAACAATAGCAGCTCCTTGAGAAACCCAACGAAGGCCAGCCGCTTGGACTGGAACATCAGGTACACGAGGTAAGCATACAGCGGAGCGTAAACGACGTCGGCGATCTCGCCTCCAAAAACGGACGCCGCACCGACAGCGTCGAAGAACACGCACGCTGGCAACTTCTGCAGGTACTGCTTGCTCTTCCAATGCGTGTGCTCGCCGCTAGCGGCAGTGCCCGCCGGCGCGGCGGGCATTCGAGCCGAGGCCCCCTGGCAGCACGGTGAGCCCGCAACGGCCTGCACCAGCGCGTCTGGAGCGCAGCTTGAACCAGAGTGGCTCGAGCCATTTTGCTACAGAGGAGGACGAGGCGTGGAAGGACGAGGGCCCAAGCCTCCGACGCCTCGATCTTCCCGAGTCGCTGGCCCCGGGAACTCTTCACCCCGTCCACAGGACGGGCGTCTCACTCCGAGCCGCTGCTGCCAACGGCCCGGGAGCCCAGGAAGGGGCCCCAGAAGTCGAAAAGCGATAAGAGATCGGATCCCTGTCCCCAAGCCTTCAAATCGACAGGCCCAAATGCGATGACATTCGTAGGGATGCGCCCTCAGAATCCTGAAGATCGGCACCGAGGTACGGAGTTGCCAATCATAGGGATAGGGAGATGCTGCAGGCAGGTAATAGAAGGTCTCCTCGGGGCCTCCTGGTGCGCCCTGGGGCCTCCTGAGGCCTCCCGAGGCGGCGGGGCGGCTCCGGCGCGGCGCCAGGCCCTCCGCCCGAGCGACACGGCGACCTCACGCGACGCTTTGCGCACGCCGCCAGCGCGGCACACTCCGACCCAGACCCCGACGCCACGACTCGTTTCACGACCCGGGAGCGGCCAAGAGGGGGGTGTCCAAGAGGGGGGGGTGCAAATCATGACCGACGGCATGTGCGCGGCCCAGCGGGGAGGCCAGGGACGTAATGAAATAAGAAGAGACGCCATGAAATCTGGGGAAAAATCATAGCCCACGCCATGATATCCACCCCCCCCTAGTCATCACCCCCCTCTTTTCCGCTCCCGAACGACGCCGACCCCAGAAGCCTGGACCCCCATGCCCCGGGACCGGGTCTTCCTCCCGGGCCGTGCCGTGGCGGCCCCGAGGCCCAGGAAGGAGAATAGAGAGACCAGCGGCAGACAAGCACAAACGTGTGGCGCTCCGCGCGGATTTCTTGGATCTGCGCTGGCAATACGCGTAGAGGGCTTTTTTCGACACCAATCACGAGGATCGTGGTCTCGGAGGGGGGAGCCCAAATCGACTACCCCCCCTCCCGCCCCAAGAGGCCCCCAAAAGCTCCCCAAGATGCCCTGGGGGCCCCCAAGACGCCGCCAAGGAGCCCCAAGAGACCCCCAAGAGGTCCCCAAGAGGCCCCCAAGAGGCCCTTAAGAGGGCTCCAAGGCTGGCGGAATGAGCGAAACGATTAATACGCGTAGAGGGTTGGCTACCTTCTGGACGGGGCCAGGGGAGAGAGGAACCTGGCACTCGAAGCTTGCACGTGTGGAGATGAAAGCTGGGCGAAGAGAGAAGTGAAAACAGGGAGGAGCGAGGACACGCTTGGTGCGCTCGCGCCATGTCTGGCATTGGGTCGGGCATGTCCCCCTACGGGCGAAATTGGGGCGAACAAAAGAGAATTGTCCAAACATATTCAAGCGTACTTCAGAAATACTTGTTACAAATCGCCCCCAGAGAATTGTTTTACTGATTTTGAATTTCCCTCCAGTAGAAGGGCGCGCCCGAGGTAAGTCTAACTAGCAGCTGACCTCCCCCGCCCATCCCGTCCCCCGTCCGCTGCCTCGCCTGTGCCAGCCGACTGGAGGAGGAGGACGGAGGAGGAGGAGGAGGAGGAGGAGGACGGAGGAGGAGGGGGGAGGAGAGGACGGAGGAGGAGGAGGAGGCGGGAGGGAGGGAGGGAGGGAGGGAGGGACTTGAATTGCGACCTGATTCGCCATGGACAGCGGTCAGATGGTGTCGGCACTCAGCTAGCTTCATACACACGAGCAGTCGAGAGCATTGAAGCACGGGCGCCAAGGAGAGTACATGTTCACGGCCCAGCCACCCCATGCCCATCCCCCCCCCCCCAACGACCACACCTAAAGGTATGACAGCTTGGCGCCGTGCGTGTCAAAGCAAGACCAGGCTCCGACCCCAAACGGGCGAAGTAAGCGTCAAGACCACTCCAATTCCTCCCAGTAACTGGCCCATCCCTGACCTTATCGCTTGCCGAACAGGCTACGCCATTGACGGTGCACGAGCGTGGGTAAAGAGAGGAGGGGAACATATCCACAGGAGAGAGAGCGGGTTAAAAGGACCGTCGCGTCAGACGGCATGGCGGGGCACGCTATTCGCACTCTCGGCCAAGCCGCCTGCGCCTGAGCACCATCAGAGAGACGGTCCTGACAAACACATTCCACGGTGTCACCGCACAGTGGGCATGCAATGCAGTGACAGCAGGCAGCAGCACCCCATTCCCTGCTACCCCATCCCTGCAACAAACCCGATCCTGCTACCGCTTCTCTGCCGCTCGCCGCGCACGTGGAAGGGTGCGGAGGTAGAGGCAGAGGGGAATGCATGCAGGTGATACTCCATGGTCCCGAGGGGATACACGCTCCGTCGCATTTAGGCCATCGTGGGCACCCGTATGGGATCTAGGGGTCTACCCCCTAGGGAAATAGTGCACCGATGGGGCAGCTTGACATTCTCCTCTCCGCATGTCCTCTGCAGCCAACACTTCGCCAGCTCGTCATGGCGGGACGCGCTTCTCGCACTATCGGGCCTCGGACAGCGCGTGGGGCCTAGCATGTGACGCCATGAGACAATGCAGCCCCCCCCCCCCCACACACACACACACACACGACCATAACCCTGCTCCAACCCTGCTACTCCACACTGCGGCTCGCAACGCGCATGCGACGCAAGAAGCAGGATGCGAAGGGAAGATGAGGATGGGAGGGGCCATAGGAGTCACACTGGCCTTAAGAGGGGACACCTCGTGGCCAGCAATGCTCTCCAGACTCGCGGGGGACGCCCGCGAGACTCCCGCGCACTGTCGACGACGCGTGCGGACATCCACATCCCATGCCTCCGTCGCCGCACTGAACTGTGAATTGTCGATGGATGCACGCTGACAAGTCCGCGACAACATTATGCAGAGGCGCGTGGAAGAATGGAAGCGATGCAAGAAAAGTCGAGGCAATTCGCACTCTCCTTTCTACTCTGATGCAAAATTGCAGGGGAACATGCCGCGGCAGGCCTGGACACCTTACCCACGAGCCTGCTGCAATCTGGAAGTGGATTACGCGGCAAGACAGCACAGCACGATTGAGCCTGCAGCACCTTCGGAGGTGACGCGCGCTGGGCAAGAGCCAATCACCACTGGCGGCGCCCACCTCCGCAGGCAAACTCGCCACCCTTGTGAAAACACGTCCTCCCCATGTCCGTCATAGGATCGTCTGGGGTTTCGATCCCTCTCTACATCTGAACTGCGGGCTGCCTCACCGCGCCCCCTTGGCAACGGGCGCTCTTCTCCAGGAACCGCACTCAGCTCCACCCTGCTTAACGTCGGTGGTGACGGTGCCGCCCCACCGGCCGCCATGGCTGCCACGATGGTCGGCTGCCCTGGGCATGCAATGCTCCTTGCCCTCATGGCGCGGCGATCCTCCTCGGCGGCCTCTGCGCGGCGCTCGGCAGCTGCCCGCGTGGCTCGGCGGCATGCGGCGCCTCTTGCCCGCATGGCGCGGCGCTCCTCCTCGGCGGCCTCTGCGCGGCGCTCGGCAGCTGCCTTGGCGCGGGCCGATCGGGCAGCCTTCTTGGCCTTCCAGACGTTGGAAGCCACATCATCACCAGCATCCTCTGGCACAGGACCGCCATGCCCGCCATCGACATCTGCCTGTATCTCTGCCGCGGCGCGCGCCTGGGCCTGTGTCAGGATGGGCGCGCCCGACACCACCACGGGCGCGGCAGGGACTGGCGATGCAAACACCAGCCTCCCGCGCTGGCACTGCTGGCGCCACTGCTGCAGGCTGCTGCCCCTGTGCCGCGCCTGCTGCGAGCTGCCCCAGCGTCACCTGCAGCTCGCCAAGCACGGGCGACAGCCCCGCCAACTGCTGCACCATGTTCGCATGGCCCTGCTGGAGCTCCGTGATGTCGGCTACCGCCGGCGACGTCATGACATCGCTGTTCGGCTCTGGGTAGTGCGTTTCCAGTTGGCGTAACATTAGCTGCGCCCTCGCCAACTCATTGTAGCGCTGGGTCAGGACGCCTAACTTGTGCACGAGGGTAGCCTGTGCCTCAACGAAGTCGTCCTGCGTCCGTCTCATCCTCCTCTCGGCCCGCTCCAGCTGGAGCCTGTCCGTCTGCTGGAGCCTGTCCGTCTGCGATCTGCACACTACGATCATGGTCATGAGGACTGCATAATCCTGCGCCAAATCGGTGACCACACACACATGGTGCCCAAGCTGCGGACTTGTACGCAGCTTCTTGGCGGAGGCGATGACCAGGCGACGAAGATACCTCCTTTGCGCCTGCACTGCTTCTTCAGTGCAAGGCGGCCCCAGCCATGAAGGGTGCGCCCTGGCCTCCTCAGGGAGCGCAGGCAAAACCCCTAGCGGCTGCATCGCCGACGAATCCTCCGTGTCCATGCCCTCCCCGACCTTGGTCTCCTCGGACGTGACATCTGCCGACTTCGACCGACACGAGGCTCGCGTCCGCCTAGGCCCAGACGTCGCACGGCCTCTGCGAGCCTCAGGCTCGGGCGCAGCCTTCGCCTCGGGCTCAGGCGTCGGCACCAGCCAACGCTGGAGCGTGGCCTCGGCTGCGTCGGCACCAGCGACGGCACGTTCTCCCTGCTGACTACGACCGCGCCGTCGTCGTCTATCAGCACGTTCTCCCTGCTGACTGCGACCAGCCTTCCCCCCCGACGATCGGGCACGCTGATCGGCCTGCGGGTTTGGCGTCTGCTGTCGCCTGCCTGCCATCTGCTGCGGTGGCCCAACATCGGCCCACGGCGCTTGGGCAGGCATTGGGAAGCACACCCTGCACGGCCTATCCTGCATCATGTTGGGCTCGCCGCACTGCTCGCATCGCCATGCTGGTATCGGCGGCTGGACAGGCACGACCTGCTTGCCCTTGCCCTTGCCCGCGCCGCCACCTTTACCTCCTCCCCGATGTTGCCACGACATCGAACTGTGATGATCGCGTAGCCGCTGGGCCACGACGACAAC